ACATGACTCTTCTGTAATTCCAGTGATTAATTGATTTTGCTGTAATATTTGTATATATTATATATTTGTGCTTTGTAATATCATTGTGCCTTCTGCAGTCATGGTACAGCAGCGAAGTTCTTTAATTATTACACCGATAAGAGTATAGTTCCTAGAAATATCAGAAAATAGCAACTTTTCAATTTCTGTCAGTCTTAATAAACAATAGAAGAGTCAAGCTTTATAAAAAAAATGATTAAAACTTGTTGGTCGTTTTTTGAGCGAGATGCTAATGGTCTAATCCGATTGATCTATGATCTATGCTAAGCTAAGCTAAAAGTTCACCTGCCAGACTCTGAGATCAGCTGAATGGATTCACAAATGGCAAAACTCTACCACTTCCATGACTTTTAAATGAACTTGGATTTACCCCAGTGTTGCAAAAACGCCTTTTTTCTAGGCCCACAATAATATGCATATTTCATATTGTTTATAATGTATGCGTTTTACAAATGAATGTGATTTTAAATGTAAAACTAATAAATGTTTAAGCTATCCTGACTATTTGTCTTACAGAAAGATTTTTTTGTTTTTGTTTTCTACTGTCTTACCCCCTGATAAGTACCGTGCTTGCGTAAGTATATCCAAAAGAGAACCAGAAGTACAATAAAATGTTATCGCAACAAGTTTTATTCTTCATTTCTATTCCAGCAAAACCTGTCCAATGTGACTGAAACCTCCGATCCCTGAGTTAGTACCAAAGAAAAGCTATAGGAGGTCAGAGCTACAAGAAAAGCATCCATTATTATTATCATCATCATCATTATTATTATGATTGCGTACAATCTAAAAATACAATCAACAATCAATCAGTCTGTCATCAAGGAATCACTTCACGATTAGTCTGAAAATACAAGCCTCTTATAATACGAGCATTTCTATAGATAAAAGTTCTAGCTTTAAATAGTGTTGTCATTTTTGTGCAATTTACTAGCAGGGCAACTGGAGTCGCCATGAGCGAGAGGTAATATTGTCATTGTTAAAGGTCAGTCCTCATGCTTCAGGTCGAGGAGAAAAAACATTCGCTTTATTGCCATGGAGGTTTAACTAGAGAAATGTGAACTCGGGAAAAGCTTAATGGCTGGAGGGATTTAAGTCTGGACTGGGCTTAATTCACTCCCAAAATCAAAAAGAAACAAAATATATAGAGTTGAAGGCAAAATTGTTAGCCCTCCTGTGAAATTTGAATTCTTTTTCAAATATTTCTTATGTTATGCTTAATGGAGATTAATTGTTTTAACACATTACTTAAATATAATAGTTTAAATAACTCATTTCTGTTGTCTTTGCCAAGATGACAGTATATTTTACTAGATAATATTAGTTATAATTCCTTACATTTATAAAGCGCTTTTCTGGACACCCAAAGCACATTACACATTTTTGGGGGAATCTCCTCATCTACCACTAGTGTGCAGCAGCCATATTGTGCCAGACATCACACCAGCTGATTGGTGTGAGGAGACAGAGTAATGAAGCCAGTTATGATATGGGGATGGTTAGGAGGCCATGATGGACAGAGGCCAGTAGGCAGATTTGGGCTGGACGCCAGAGTTAAACCCCTACTCTTTTTCGAAGGACATTCAGAGAGTTCTTCGATTTAACATCTCATCTGAAAGTCGGCGCTCACTGAGTAGTATATAGTCCCCATCAATACACTGGGGCGTTAGAGAACCCATACAGACCTCAGGTTGAGCGCCCCCCTGCTGGCCTCACTAACACTAACACCACTTCCTATGTGGTCTCCCATTCAGGTACTGATCGGACACAGCCCTGCTTAGCTTCAGTGGGTGACCATGAGAGAGTTGCAGAGAGCTAGCCAGCCAGCCAAATGTGTTGCAAGATATGAGTATTCAGCTTGAAGTGCAGTTTAAAGACTTAACAACAACAAATATAATAGTACTGTGAAGATTTCCCTGCTCCGTTAAGCAGCAATTGGGAAATATTTGATTAATTTCACAGGGCTGCTAAAAATGTTGTCTTCAGCGGTATGTATTTATTAATGATATAAATAATTATTGCATTTTTTAATATGAATATTATATATTTCTATTATTTAATTTAGTCTTATTTTATTTAGTAACTAAAACATTTCCCTCAAATTTGTTTTAGCAAAATGTATTACATGTATTGTACAACAAAACATACTACACAATAGACTTTGTCAGTTCTTTTGACTTTGCTGTCATTGACGTATTATGATATGATTTAATAAACGTGTAAATAAAAACAAAAACATATAAGTGTATTTTTACACTATTTTCATGCAATTTCGTTCCAAATTTTCATGTCTGTAATGTATGATAACAGTTTACATTTAAATCAGGATTTATTTAATACCGTGCAAAAAATACTACTGTTTCTACATACTTAACATAAGATCTAAAAAATGCGGCTATTATTTTTAATATTAGTTGTTCAGAATGACAGTAATGAGATTTGGGTTAATTATGATGTTTTTTTTTAAAGAGAGATTAAACAGACTTAATTTTCTTTTAAGATATTTTTTTTCCTTTTGATTTTGGTTTTGTGAAATTGGCCCATGTGCAGGCTGTGATATAAAATAATGCTTTTTCATACATTTGATTTATATTTATATGCATCAACATACAGTGTCCTCCAAGAATAATGGCAAAATTGATAAATATGAACTGATATTAAACTTATTTATTAAATTAAAAATTAACTTAAATGGATAAAAATTAACTGATATTACATTTGTATATAAACCTAAATTGATACAAATAAAAATATAAATACCAAACAATTGCCTTTAACTTTCTCATGGTTAACAAATTATTACTCGACTTTTCAGATAAGAGCTGAGTTTTTTTGTTGTTGTTGTTGTTGTTGTTGTTGTTGTTGTTCTTTTTAAAACTAACAAATTGTGATGACTGACAATGAATTTTGGCCAGATTTTACCTTAAATATATTTACAGCTTTGTTTTACTGGAGGTCGTTGCTTAAACAATTTCCTTTTCCTGTTCACCCAGGGTGTACTAAAAAGGTTAAACATCAATAAGAATATGTACTTCCAAAATATTTTGCTCACATGAATTCAGTAATTGTGGCACACATACAGTTGAAGTCAGAATTATTAGCCCCCTTTTAAATTTTTTTTCTTTTTAAAATATTTCCCAAATGATGTTTAACAGTGCAAGGAAATTTTCACCATATGTCTGATAATATTTTTTCTTCTAGAGAAAGTCTTATTTGTTTTATTTTAGCTAGAACAAAAAGCAGTTTTAAATTTAATAAAACCCATTTAAGGTCAAAATTATTAGCCCCTTTAAGCAATATATTTTTTCAACTGTCTACCCAACAAACCATCACTATACAATAACTTGCATAATTATCCTAACCTGCCTAGTTAACCTTATTAACCTAGTTAAGCCTTTAAATGTCACTTTAAGATGTATAGAAGTGTCTTGAAAAACATCTAGTCAAATATTATTTACTGTCATCATGGCAAAGATAAAATAAATCAGTTATTAGAAACGAGTTATTAAAACGATTGTTTAGAAATGCGTTGAAAACATCTCTCCATTAAACAGAAATTGGGGTAAAAAATAAACAGGGGGGCTAAAAATTCTGACTTCAACTGTATATTTAAAGGAACGCTCCACTTTTTTTCGAAATATGTCAATATGGCTAGCAATGATATTCGCAGCACAGTCACCTAGTTAGCTAGCAGTGAATTATTTTTAGATGCATGGTAATATCATTGGTACATCAGCAAAGTTTCTAGATTGTTACACATAATAGAGTATATTTCCTAGCCATAATATTAGCATAGAAAATAGCAACTTTTAATTTTCCCTCAATCTTACTAGCAGAAGAGGAAGTCAATATGACAGCAGATTGACATTGTACCCCAACGTCGGGGTATATTGCATTTTGTTTGAAAATGAAAATCAGGTTGTCCCAGGTTGTTGCAGCTTGACATTGTGTGAACATTAGCACTATGACGTCTATCAGACTTTGGATTTTGGTTGCCATACCTGACAAATCAATGTCAGTATTTATCCTCAATATGACGATGGTTTAAGATGTTAGATTTTGGTCACAACCTAAAATCAACAAAATATCAACATCATGTCACGTCGTTACTGGACATCAAAATAACATTGTCCTTAGACACGACCTAATATTAATGTCTTATGACTAGGGCCAAACAGAATCTGCAGACATTTTTTGCTATACCTGCAGAGAATTTTGGTAGAAATCTGTGGATTTATGTGGAATTATTTTAGGATTATCATAACTAAAACCTTAATATATGAAATAAAAAGTAATATCTTTGTAACTTTTATTTAATGTTTAAAATGCAAATCTAATTAGATCCACTTTATTTGGTAAACAAAGCAAGTCTCTCATTTCATATATCCACTAAAAGACAGAAAATACTTCTGTACATAAATCAGATGAACATTTTTATATTAGTCAATAATATTACTGAAATTAATTTAAAAACTGAATAAATATAGATTTACACACATTTACTCAAGTAAATAAACAGAATTAATGATGGACTAAAACTCTGCTGAATTCTGAGGAAAATCTGCGGAATTCTGCGCGTGTAGATTTTGTGTGGGCCTATATATGACTGTCTGCTGGGTTAGTACACAATGCAGTCAAGCTTTAAATAAAAAAACTATAATTTATATATTTATCTTTTTATTTAACAAGATACTAATGGTCTAATCTGATTCAATTGTTTTTGCTAAGCTAAGCTTAAAAGTGCTCCAGCAAAACTCTGAGATCAGTTGAATGGATTCAAAACTGATAAATCTAAAATATTGAGGAAAACAAAGAAGTGGAACATTCCTTTAACCAGGATTTTTGTTTGTTTTGTTGTTGTTGTTGTTCTTAATGTTCTTTATATATATATATATATATATATATATATATATATATATATATATATATATATATATATATATATATATATATATATATGCTGCCATGCCTGCACATATTTTCCAAGGGCACCAATATTAGTGGATGGACACCGTGCTGACCGTATTACCTTCCCTGAATTACGAAACCCTCTTAAGATCCTTCTACGAAAGAAGATATGAATGCGCAGATGAACGATCATGCATCTACAGAAGCAGATTTCCACGAGATCGGCTCGCGTTCCCATAACCAGGCGTGTGTCGGTAGAAAAAGTGCAGTCTTGTGGATGTTGAATGCATCTTCAGGGAACAGCTATATACAAAGTGGCATGTAGAAAATAAACCGTGAGCATTCCCCATTGCTGCTGTCCCGTGAACACAGGCATGATGCTTCATGCAAAGAAAGCTAGGTCCTATCCAGTTCCCGGGTGGCCAAAAACCAGGTATGGCTCTTCTGTGTTAGCACTGGGAAGGATCCAGACCCCACAAGACGATGCTGTGGGCTCAGTCCGGGTCTGGCTTTTTGGGACGGCGCATGTCCTCCATCTAGTGTCCCGCTCCAGCAACTGCAACTCTACAACTGTGACAGGAGATCATCTGAAAACTGACCTCTCTTCCTCACTGTGAGCCTTTGACAATCAGCCACGACATGTCTCCTGTCCTGAGGAGAAAATAACACAGGCATTCTCAAGGACAACTCAAACGTAAGCAATACAAACATTCACTTCAGTAAATATATACTGTACATGTAGATTTGACCTTTTACAAGAGAACCATGTATATACTGTGTATATATGACACTGTATACAGAATATACTGTCCAAATTTGAGGTGTTTGAAATAATTTATATATTTACTGTCCACTCTATACACAACACAATGACTTTCTGATTTTGGCTGTACGCTCAAAAAACTGTGTAGAGGTTTTTTCAGGACAACTTAATTGTTTTATGTTCAATCCACTTATATTTGTTGTTAACTTAATTGGTTTGTGTATGAATAGTGTGGAACCCTGCATTTTTTTTACAGAAATTTTTACATCGAATTATGTGTTTGTGCAAAGGTGTTAGAATAATTAATTAAAATTGTAGATACATTAACTAAAAAAAACTAGCATAAAACAAAATTAACTTAAACCAGGGTCAAAAACGTTTCACATATCCAAAAAAACATGGTATGAGTCAAAATCTTTTATTCCAAAAACATTTGAATATTTAGTAAATTTCCTACTGTAAACATTTCAAAAATAAAAACATAAAAAATGATTGAATAAATTATTTAGTAATGTGCATTGCTAAGCACTTTATTTAAAGGCAATTTTTTTTTAAATCAGATTACAGATTACACATTCACCGGGCACTTTATTAGGTACACCTTACTAGTACCGGGTTGGACCCGTTTTCGCCTTCAGAACTGCCTTAATCCTTTGTGGTATAGATTCAATAAGGTACTGAGATTTTGCTCCTTATTGAAATGATAGCATCACGCAGTTGCTGCAGATTTGTCAGCTGCACATCCATGCTGCGAATATCCACTACATCCCAAAGGTGCTCTCTTGGATTGAGATCTGGTGACTGTGGAGGCCATTTGTGTACAGTGAACTCATCGTCATGTTCAAGAAACCAGTCTGAGATGATTTACGCTTTAATATATAGCACGTTATCCTAAAGTGTGCCAAGACATTATCTCCCACACCATTACACCACCACCAGCCTGACCCGTTGATATAAGACAGGGTGGATCCATGCTTTTATGTTGAGACCAAATTTTGACCCTATCATCCAAATGTCGCAGCAGAAATTCATTTGAACAGGCAACATTTTTTTATTGTCTATTGTTCAATTTTGGTGAGCCTGTGTGAATTGTAGCCTCAGTTTTCTGTTCTTAGCTGACAGGAGTGGCACCCAGTGTGGTGTTCTGCTTCTGTAGCCCATCCGCCTCAAGGTTGGACATATTGTGTGTTCATAGATGCTCTTCTGCAGACCTTGGTTATAACGAGTTGTTATTTGAGTTACTGTTGCCTTTCTATCAGCTTTAACCAGTCTGGCCATTTTCCTCTGACCTTTGGCATCAACAAGACACTTGCATCGACAGAACTGCCGCTCACTGGATATTTTCTCTTTTTTGGACCATTCTCTGTAAACCCTAGAGATGGTTGTGCATGAAAATTCAAGTAGATCAGCAGTTTCTGAAATACTCAGACTACCCCGTCTGGCACCAATAACCATGCCATGTTCAAAGTCACTTAAATCCCCTTTCTTCCCCATTCTGATGCTCTGTTTGAACTGCAGCAGATCATCTTGACCATGTCTACATGCCCAAATGCACTGAGTTTCTGCCATGTGATTGGCTGATTAGAAAATCTGTGTTAACGAGCAGTTGGACAGGTGTATCTAATAAAGTGGCCGGTGAGTGTATATAACATGTGATTTTTTGAAAGTGTAAGAGTAAACAAAAACAATAAACACTAAACAAACCAACTTCATCTATAGTCCACAAAAAAAAGCACTTACTCTACGTCACGTTTTCTAATCGTCTTTCCAGAACCGAAAACTTCAGCAACCCGCGACACAATGGGGTCATAGTTCATACTGGCCACAGCGACCACCTCCTCACTCCTGCAAACAAACAAAGCAGATTAAACGCAGCCCTGAACCGGCGACAACTCAACACGGTGTAACGGCATACTCTTAATCTAGCCAGCTTGCTAGTTAATGCAGCGGCCAAGACAGCTTAAGCTCTGCAATTTAAGAAAACTTGCACTGCACAAGAAACAAATTCCAGCCGGATTTTATGATTTTATGGGAGGAGAGTATTTAAATCATGCAATATGATTTACTAAGGTTTGTGGTAGTGAGTCCACTGGTATTTATCTCATAATTTAATGCCTATCCAGTTTCAGCTCCTAACTGTGCTTTTAATAAATTGCAATTTCACATTTATTAATTTGGCTTGTTTAGTAAACCTGGTCCTATAAGCTATTGAATTTTATACATTGAGTATAATAAAACAATAATGTTAATCTACTGTGTAAAGGATTAACTATTTTTATTATTAGTAGTAAGTACTGTTATTAGTTGCATTAATAAATATAATAATGAATCTCTGACAAGTATGTTACAGGCTAAGGACTAAAAAAATAAGGAAAAAAGTAACTATAAGTATATATTTTTATTTATTAACTCATGTTTTAATTGTTAAAGCAACAAATTAATTTATTACTATTCCAAAAACCTTCCTTCTTTGGCTCTCGACGAAGACGGGGATACTTTTTTTCCTCTCTCTCCCATATCTCTCCTGGCTGGCTCCTCTGGCCTCGTCTTTTTTCTATCTGTGAGACTCTCCTTGCCCTGCTCTCCAAACAATAGAGAATTATGGATTTGATCAACTGGTCCCTGAACACATTTCACCCCATCTTCTCAACGAGAAGTTTGGGTTTTGGGGAACCCAACTGTCCTGCAGGGACATTTGCAGCTGCATACTTGATGGACGGGTGGGAGAAGTGGCACGTTGTGTGCCTGGCCCCTCTGTCTCTGGAGGATGTTGAAGATATCTATCTATTCCAAACTTTGATAACAGGGTTTCTGCTAATGGGCTACCCTGCTGCAAGCCTAGGCTGGTTTAAGCTGTTTTTTTCAGTAGGGTTAGGCGGGGCCCTGGGATATTGACAATTGATAAAAGCAGTCAGTGCGGCTTAAAACCCCTACAAGCTGACCGGCTGGATTGAAACGTTGGTGAGCAGGGTTGTTGGTACTCAGACTGTGGCCTTAGACTGCAAATTGGAAAACATTGGGAAGAAACTAGCAGCGTTGCAATGTGATTTGGTAAGACCTGGAGACCAGTGACGGACATTAAATATCTGCGAAATTCACAGATATTGACCCAAATTGTAAACCTTTTCTTCTTTTTCGGCTTCCCTGTGACTCTTCTGCAAGAGAGCAGGATAAGGAGACGCTCTGTGTTCCTGCTTCCTGTTCCAAGGACACCTTTGAGACTCTACAGGCTTACACACACACACACAGCTACAGATAGACAATCACTGCCTAACCCCTACATCCCACGTCATCTTAGTGTGTTTTTATCCACTGGTGTGGTTAGGCTGGTCTGTGACCAGCGCCCCCTGGCTGCAGGACCAGATTGCTGCTGCCTTTATCGGACTATATCCACATCTCCTGTTCCCATCCCCTGTTGTGTTCTGTCTATGTCTGTGAGTTTATGTGCTTTTGCTGGGGCTTTTTTCTTCCTGATCTCACACTGCCCTACTTCAACGGCAGTCTGAGAGGGGATATTTTTTCACCTCCCTCTTCTCTAATGTATCTTCTTTCCTCTTTCTCATCTGTGTATGTGACAAATAAAGGCTTTTCATCATCATCATCATCGAATAGCATTTTGCTATACAAAGAAAAGCTTTGTAAATCAATTAAATCAATTTAGATGTGTTGATGATGATGAAATATGGAGACAATAACAATCAAATAAACTCACTTTGTGTAGAACGCCACGAATTTCAGTTCATCCAAATCTCCCTGGATGACGACATCGTCAAAGCCATCACCGTAACCTTGATGACAACATTTGAACTGCTTGAGATGCATCAAAAGAGCACTGATACTGAATCTACAGTACATTAAACACACACTGAATATGTAAATCATGAATAGCTGCAATGCATGTGCAGTTTTGTGATAGAAATTTGTCCTTACCTGCATATCGTATGCTTTTCCCAAACATGGCTGTCCAGAAATAAGGCACCGTTTTTATATCTGAGGCTTTTCCCATGATCCCAAGTGCCGCCAGTCTACCTGCAGTGGAACAGATGGATATGCTAAAATGTTTTAGCAAGTTGCTCCATAAAGTTGCTATCATCTTATAATAATAGTTACCAGTATCCAGTTACTAGCATGTTCTAGCAAGTTGCTAGAGTATTTCTAACATGTTTAACATGTTGCTGGCATGTTTAGGAAGTTACTATAATTGTTTATTGATGTTAGCATAGTTATAATACTTTGACAAGTTGCTAACACATTGTACTCTGTTCCTGGCACACTTTATCATGCTGCTGGTGTACTGATAGCATTTTTATCGCATTAATAGCAAAATGTTGTATATTTTTAGCATGTTTTAACATGTTGTTAGCATGCTAGTTATGGATAGATGTTTTAGCAAGTTGCTTACCAGTTTCAGTTTCTAGCATGTTTCAACATGTTATAGCAAGTTGCCAGTGTCTTTCTAACATTTTTATCATGTTACTAGCATGTCACTGGCAGCTGTCAGCAAGTTACTATAATAATTTAATGATGTTAGCTTGTTTATAATCATTTTAACAAGTTGCTAACACATTTTACACTGTTCCTGGCATACTTTATCATGCTGCTAGTATACTAATAGCATTTGTATTACATTGATAGCAGCATTTTGCATGTTTTAACATGTTGTTAGCATGCTAGTAATAGATAGATGTTTTAACAAGTTGCTTACCAGTATCCAGTTTCTAGCATATTTTAGCAAGTTGGTAATGAATTTCTAACATGCTTATCATGTTGCTAGCATGTCACTGGCATGCTTCATCAAGATACTGTAATGGTTTAAGAATGTTAGCATGTTTATAATACTTTAACAAGTTGCTACCACGTTGTACTCGGTACCTGGCACACTTTATCATGCTGCTAGTATAAATAGCATTATTTAAATCACTTTGCTAGCAATGTTTTGAATATTTGTAGCATGTTTAAACATACTGTTAATGTGCTATTAATAGATAGATGTTTTAGCAAGTTGCTTACCAGTGTCCAGTTTCTAGCATGTTCTAACACGTTTTAGCAATTTTCTAGTGTATTTGCCACATGTTTATCATGTTGCTAGCATGTCACTGGGATGTTTTAGCAAGTTACTCTAACGGTTTAACAATGTTAGCATGTTTATAATACTTTAACAAGTTGCTACCTCACTTTACTCTGTTTCTGTCATACTTTATCATGCTGCTAGTATAATAATAGCATTTATCACACTGATAGCAAAATTGTGTATACTTGTAGCATTTTTAAACAAGTTGTTAGCGTGCTAGTGATAGTTAGATGTTTTAGCAAGTTGCTTACCAGTATCCAGTTTCTAGCATGTTCTAACATGCTTTAACAAGTTACTAATGTATTTCTACCATGTTTATCGTGTTGTTAGCATGTCTCTAACATGTTTTGGCAAGTTACTGTAATGGTTTAATGATGTTAGCATGTTTATAATACTTTAACAAGTTGCTACCACATTGTAATCTGTTGCTGGCATATCATGCTGCTAGTATTGTGTTTTAATGTTATTAGCATCCTAGTAAAAGATGATAGATAGATAGATAGATAGATAGATAGATAGATAGATAGATAGATAGATAGATAGATAGATAGATAGATAGATAGATAGATAGATAGATAGATAGATAGATAGATAGATAGATAGATAGATAGATAGATAGATAGATAGATAGATAGATAGATAGATTTAGCAAGATGCTACCAAACTGCTAGCATATTTTAGGACATAACTGAATTTAATAATTTGTAGCAAAAATTTAACATTAACATGTTGTAACATGTTTTGACACGTTGTTAGCATGCTGTAGGTACATAGGTAGGAGTTCCAACATGTTTGCTAGTGTGTTTCTAACATGCTTTTACCTGACACTAACATGTCATTAGCATGTTTTACCAAATGTAATGGTTTAACGGTGTTAGCATGTTTATAATGCTTTAACAAGTTGCTACCATGATTTACTATGTTGCTGGCATGCTTTATCATGTTGGTAGAATACAAATAACATTTTATATCATTGATAGCATAATTTAGCATAATTGTAGCATGTTGTTAGCGTGCTAATGATAGAAACAGACATTGCTACCATGTTTAGCCTTTCACTAGTAAGTGTTAACATGTTTTTATCATTTCCTAGGATAGCTGTCATGGTTTGCTAGTGATAGACAGATAGAGCTACAGGTCTCACCGTGTACATGAGCCATCTGCCAGTGGGGTATGTTCACCTTCTTATTGCTGCGTAGACCTAGAGGAAACGTGACCACGTCACCACCAGCAAAGACCCCATCTATGTTCGTCTGCATGGTCTGAAAAGTAAAGGTGTAGGTTTACACACTATGTAGTTTGTCCTTTGCAGCCCGATGAACTCATTATCTTTGTATTTAATTTAGCACTGATACAGCAGAAACAAGCATGAGCTAATTAGCACAGGTTACAAAAACAGGCACCTATTCTGAATGCTAGCAGATGTTGATGTGTTCTGTGATGCAAAAACAGGTGTACAGTGCATATGGAGCAGTACAGTGGAGAATGACTGAACCTTATTGACTGGGATGAATCCTTTAGAGTCTATGTGAACCCCGCTCTGCTTCAGGAATGCTGTGGCTGGACTTGAACCTAAACACATGCACATACACTTTCACTGTAACAATGGTTCAGTCATTTACATCATTTAGATTAATGGTCTAAAACTTAATTCCTGGAGAGCCGCAGCTCTGCATAGTTTAGGTCCAACCACCTCAAACTCACACCTGCTTAATAATCTTGAACACCTTTATTATTTGGATGGGCTGTGTTTGATTAGGGTTGGAGCCCTCGTCGGCGCAATAGCCTAGGGGTTTGCGCGCTGACATATGGTGCAGTAGCACGTCAGGGCGTCGCGAGTTCGAATCCTGGCTCGAGGACATTTCCCTATCCCCTCTCTTTCTCCCACCTTGCTTCCTGTCTTAATACTTTCCTATCTAAAAAAGGCCAAAAATCTAAAAAAATAAATAAATAAATAAAAGAGTTGGAGCCCTCCAGGAATTGAGTTTGAGACCTATGATTTAGATCAGGGGTTCTCAAACTTTTCAGCCCGCGACTCACAAAATAACAATGCCAGTGACTCCCATATTTCACTTAAATAAGCACGAGCATATTGACAACACAAAAAAGTGCAACAGTTTAACAATCATTCTTTTACAGTCATTTATTAATTTGTTTAATTTAATATTGACCTCACCTGAAGAAACTAGCGGGCAGAACGTTTTCAGCACAAGTCTATGCTTGGTTTAATTTTGGAGACCGTCACTCACAAGATCGATCTCAATGTTCAGTTGTGGCCTGTATTTATTTTTAATGTATTTGATTGCCATAAAGGTATCCGAAAGTTTACATGGTGCTATAATATCAATCTGCTGCATCTGACGCTATTGATGTGTTGTTAATTGTAATTGTTGTTAACCATTTAATCGTTGTTAACGTAAACACACCAATCATATGAATTTCAAGGCTAATCGCTTTTCATTTGCATGTTGCCTACTATTTTTATATTTTGTGGGTTATGGATATAATATGGTAATGCTAATAGTTAAATAAAATTTATTATTGTATTATTGTTATTGTCCCGCGACCCCCACTTTGGGAACCACTGATTTAAACAATGGTGTAACAAATGAATTTAGTCATTTACTTTACTATTTTACTTTATTTCAGTGGTACTTATTTAATTGAAATGAGCTGTAAAGTTTCCATGCCAATAATTTTGACACCATTTTTAAAGTATGCATTAAATTGATCAAAAGTGACATCGAAAAAGATTTCAAACCCAACCTTCTCTTTATCAAAGAATCCTGAAAAAAGTATCACAATTTCTATTGAAGTTCCACATTTTAAGTACTTTTTATATAGGGAGAGAAATATATTTGACAAAATTGAGAAGCCATGCATGTGTAATTTCATTGACCCACCTATGCCAATGACGCAGACGTCAGCTCTTAAGACTTTGCCACTCTTTAGAACCACTTCTTTGAGCTATTAAAATAAAGTAAAAATATTTCAGTTTCACATTACCACTTTGACTTGTATAATACAGAATAGAAATCTCAGTACATTTTTCAGAAAGACATTTATCAAAAGAGCAAATTCATAACAGATATGACATACTGTCAATTATACATTTACTTCACTGAGTGTGTGTTTACTTGTGTTATTAGTTTGTGGAGTTTTAACCAAGGGTAGATACATTATTGCAATTGCTGTGATTAAAATATTCACAGCGAATCATACTGTGAGAGGTTTAATTAATCTCTCTACAGTAAGAAGAGAGAGAAAGAGAGAGTGAAACAGAGAGAGAGAGAGAGAGTCCTAAACTTCACTGAACTCCCGTTTCTCTCACTTTCATGATACCTGTCCATTGTGCCCTCGCATCTCCCACACCTCATTCAACATGTAGAACTTCACCCTGTTGGACTCGAACAGCTGACAAGAGAAACAAAAAAAGTCATGAATTCACACTTAAAGGTGGAGTATTGTATGTCCCAATTTTATTTAAAGGATAGTTCACAAAAAAATCTCATTCATAAAATCCAAGTCAACAGCTAATGACATTTTGAGAGTTCAAAAATGCACAGATTAAACTAAATTAATTCCCGTGGCTCTTTATGATACACAGCCGACTTATCAAGTGAAATTATAGGTCTGTGCAAAAAACGTAATAAAGTGTTTTTTACAACATTATTACCTCCACTTTTTTGAGGAAAACATTTCTGGGTGAACTCCCCTCAAATGAAACAGTTGATTTTTACCATTTTTTAATTTATGTATCATTTTTAAATCAAATTTCCATTGATCTCCAGGTTTGGAGAGAGCACTTTTCATTGAATTGTATTAGACCATTAGCATCTTAGCAAATTTTTAATTCTGTAGTTACATTGTGCACTAAGGCATTGATTTTTACAATTTTTGAATCCATTCAGTCGATCTCCAGGCCTGGGGGAAGCACTTTTATTCTAGCTTAGCATAAATCATTGATTCGGATTAAACTTATTAGCATATTGTTCAAAATGCTGAATTCTGTAGATGCATTGTGCACTAAGGCTTCGTGTCTGCTGAAGCATCCAGCGAAAACGCTTAGATATAGATACAGATTAACATATGGTAATATCATTGTGACTGCTGAAGTTATGGTACACGATGTAGCTACAGAATAGACAAGCTTTAAATATGCTTTAAATAAAAATATGCTTTAATAAAGCTTTAAATATTTTTTACACTTTTTTTTTTTTTTTTTTTACATTTTTGAGCAAGATTCTGGAGGCCTAATCGAATTCAATGATTGATGCTAAGCTAAGCTAAAAGAGCTCCTGCAAGATCTGAAGATTTTCTGAATGGATTCAATACTGGACCGTGTAATCTTTACTAGGGAAGCTATAAAATGAAATTATTTTATTTTAATATGTAAGGTAAACCATATGGCTTTACTAATATAAGCATGACATTCATCTGTTTATCAAAACACTTTCCTTACCTTCATCAAAGCTTTCCCGACTTTCTCTCCGAGAGCTTTCCGGAATGGCACAGCCTCTATGCCGATCACAGACACTGAATGAGCCTTATCTGTGAGAGCTGCAGCAACCTCCATTCCTGAACGCAGAACAACATATATAACAACTTGACGTACACCAAAAAGCAGAAATAGTTCACCCAAACATTAAAAATCTGTTCTTTGTTCTGTAAAAAACAAAAGAACAAAGAATTTTTTCCCTAATATTCTTCAGAATATCTTTTTTTTTCAACAGATGATTGTGGTATTGCTTCTATGCCTCTGTACTTTTTATGCAGTGATTTTCAACTCATCTCTCAATTCTCAATTGTTTTGAGTGGATGTGTGAAATCAGTTCTCATCAAATTCTCTCAGGTACTGTAGCTCATCACAAAAACTATGAGATTAGTCCATTGATTTTTTAAACTCAGAAAGTTTTGTGAAAGTCAGAAAGTCTAATATTCGAATAGCAATCCCTTTAAATTGTGGCTTGAGCAACACTTCACTTATACATAAAATGCTAATTTTAAATCCTCACCAATAAACGAGGTTCCAATAATGACGGCGTTCTTACTGCTGGCGAGTGTGACGATGCTGTTGGCATCCTCTGGCGTTCGGAGGTGAAATACATTTCCCACATCTTTACCTTTGTAACTCAGAGGTTTGGGCCTGTAAAAATGAAGAAAAAAACAAACAAAAACTTTTTAAATTCAGATACAAAATGCATGTTCACCAATTTTGATTGGTAAGCTTTAAGATCAGCAGAATGTCTGCTTGAAATTAAATTTACTTTTATTTTTATTTGTATAGTACTTGTTATAAACGATATATCTGTGCACTTCATTATTTTGTTAAAAAATATTTTCCCATGGTGCAAATTGCGCAGTGAAGTGCAGGGGGGTCAACTTTTTTGGTAATGTTACTTTGTGTAATACAGTTAATCTAATGTTCTAATGTAAAAGATTTTCAGTGTTTTGTGTGATATTTTGTGTATTCTGACCTACTGTGTCCTCTGATTAACAATTTCAGAGGTTACTGTTGGTCAAACTATGCATCTAATTTTACTTTAAGGCTATATGTAGAAACAAACACCTATTTTACAAGAAAAGTGTGAACACTTACCATGTGTATCGTGGTAGATTCACAAGATTATGCATTCACAACGGCATGATCCATTATATAAGTGGTCAAATGTATATTTATTCATTCATTCATTCATTTATTAATTTTCTTTTAGGCTTAGTCCCTTTAATAATCAGGGGTCGCCACAGCAGAATGAAATGCAAACTTGTCTAGCATATGTTTTATGAAGCGGGTGCCCTTTCAGCAGCAGCCCAGTACTGGGCAACACCCATACACTCTTGCATTCGCACACATACACTACAGCCAATTTAGCTTAGTATAGGATTGTAGGGGAAAGCGGAGCACCCAGAGAAAACCCATGCCAACACTGGGAGAACACACAAACTCCACACAGAAATGCCAGCTAACCCAGCCGGAACTCGAACCAGTGACCTTCTTGCAGAGAGGCAACAGTGCTAACCACTGAGCCACTGTGTCGCCATGTAAGTTTGTATTATCTAATACTTTAATTAGTAATATTAGAATTTAAGATGCAGATCAGAGCAAACAATTTCTCCCTATTTAGAGGGGTGACCCCTAAAATAGATATCAGATTAATAAAATGCTCCATTATTTGAAATGCTGTAGTGTTATTTTCAGTATAGCAATCTGTCACTTGAAAAAAACTGCAGTAGCAGAGTAAAAAATATAAATAAATCATACACTTATCAATTAGAATCCGTAGAATCTACGGTAACTTACTGGCACCAGTTTGTCAGTAGCTTACTGTAAATAGATTACAGCAAACATACTGTATTTACATTTGCAGCACCATTTAGCTTGCTGTATATATATTTACATAATTGTATGTATATCTTTACTGTAAAATATACATTTTTTATACAAATAATATACATACTTTTATCCATATAATATTCATATTTTATACATATAATATACATAATTTTTACAATTCAATTGTAAAATTCGGTAGCATGCTGCATAAATATCCTACAGTAAAATACAGTTCATATTACAGTCAAATAATGTGTAATTTGCAAAAAAAACAGTAAATTTGCTAGAAAACAGTTGAACAGACCATCTGCAGCGCAAGGATAAAGAACAAGCCTTCTCCATTCGGCCTCTCTACTTTCTCTTTACTTTTACTTTTGTGGATGAAGAAACTGTGTTGTGCACTCCACTGAATTCACTGAAATCCTATTCTTATGCCCCATATGGTCAAATCTAATCTAGTTTTTATAATTATTTTTTCGGGGTTTTCACCTTTATTTTTGATAGGACAGTAGAGAGTAGTGACAGGAAAGCATGGGGAGCAAAGAGAGGGGAAGGATCGGCATAGGACCGCGAGGCGGAATCGAACCCGGGTCACCGCGAGTGCATGTGTCGACGCACTAACCACTACACCACTGGCGCCAACCTAAACTAGTTTTTATAAAAAGAAATATAAATATGCATATAATAAAATAATAGTTCTAATAATAACGAGGAAATTATACGAAAGCAAATTGTCATAAATAAACTGAAAAAAAGCCCCCTGACATAAAGAAGGCATGGAGGCAGTGGTTTTTATATATATGCAGTAAATAATAATTCTTGTAACATTTTTAATTCTTTTTTTTTTTTCATTTGTAAAGATATTTGTGTATTGCTGTACATCCTGTGTGTATTAATCGTTTGATCCTGCATACTGTACGCACATAACTAACGCGCTCTGCGCTGGACTTGTTCAATAGCACAGTATATTTTAGGGTGTTTCACACCAAGATCGCCTGAATGAGGTGGTCTTGGGCTCAATTGAAACAAACTCTGGAGTGGATCGATTGTAGTGAGAAGGCGATACGATCTGAGCCCGGCTATATCACAGCATATCATGGACATGTCATAGGCATATATATGGCTATATAAAGAGAGAATTATGAGTTGGGCGGGATGTCATTCAACAGGTAAATGTGTGTTTCATTTCAAATACGAAAGTGAAAGCATGCTGAACAATTAACGAGAGCTGTTTATCCGTTAGGAAAGCTGACCGACCTGCAGTCTTAGTTTATCTGTTATTTCTCTCTATAATGTAAAGCCTATAATGCATAAGCCAACTGCTATCTATAAGAAAGTCTTACCTCTGCTTTATATTTGACGATATCTGAAGGTGTCACCATTTAAAATTAAAAAGGCAGCTATTCACTTATAATGTCTTTTTGCTCATCGTCATAAGTTAAAATAAGGACACATGACAGCTGAGCGGGACTTGTTTTAGCTATTTTGGTTAGTTTAGAAACTTGAAAGCAAACCGCACCAAGAACAAAGCAACACTGGAACAATTTTAATTCCTGTTTTGGAACAAATTAATCGATTTACAGGTGTGAAAGCACCCTTAGTTTCTCAAAATAGCAACGCGCTAACAATGCGCCTTAACACACCTCTATTTTAGACTGGAATTGCCATGAGTCCACAAAGCGGTGCAAATGCATTTGCTATTTAACCAACAAGGCGCAAAATATGAAAATTAGGGTTGCACTGGTCTGAATACAGCTACAAATCGAGCTAGGAACATGTTATGCCTTATTGCACTGGACGTATGATAGGACCCTGCCTGAATAGTAGTTCAGCTGTATTCATGTTTACCTGCTTCCAGTGGCAATGAAGAGTTTTCGATATTCCATTTTAAACCCATCCCTAAATGTCACAGTGTGTGTCTTCACATCCACAGAGACAACCTGTGCAGAAACATGACAATTTGTGCAATTCTGAATATTCATTTGTAAAAAAAAAAAAAAAAAAAAACATATTCAGAAGTCATTTGTTGTAATGCTGTTACATTATTAACAAAATTAATTATTCCTAAAATTATGTTATGTATTACAAGGGTATAGTTCCAATATAGTATTACAGACTGATTTGCCTCAGTATTTTGTATCATGGTTGAAAGATTACAATATTTATTTACATGTTATGTTATTTACATGTTTGTATATGTTATTTTTTTCATCTTTGTCTACAAAGACCTCACCTCTTTCTCCAGTAGTACCTCAATGTCATGCATCTGAAAGAAATCAGATGAACGCAACTGCAGCTGTTCAGCCGTGCTCTCTAAAGACTGAAGAAAAGCATCAAATCAATGTCTGAGTGTCGGAATGAAACTTTCGGCTGGAAAGAAATTGTCATGTAATCATGTACTGAATATGTGACCCCGGACAATAAAACCAGTCATAACAAACAGAGATTTATACAAGTTGAATTAATTCTGCTGTTGTATGATTTATGATATGACAATATTTGGTTGCAATACAAGCATTTAAAAATCTGAAATATGAAGGTTTAAAAATACTGAGAAAATCCCCTTTAATATGATCCGATTTTTTTGACAGTATGGCATTTTTGAAAAGTCATCAAGGAAGGTGATCTTTAATTAATATTGTAAAGATATTCGGCATACAGGAAAAAGCAGATCATTTTGGATCATTTAATGAATCATAGAATAAATAGCGTAGCTTTGTACTAGCTTTGTGGTCCAGGGTTACATGGTTAAACCTTTTTTTCCCCCCACACTATTCTATGGACTGTTCTGTGTACAAACCTTACTCAGTTTAGGCCTGTCGTAAGGCAGATGTTTGTCCGTGGTGCAGATCACTATACGGTCAGTGAAGCCCTCCTGCCTCAGTGTCTCAGCACACACCAGACCAGCAGGCCCTGAGTGAGAACATCCACATAAGGTCAACAGGAGCATCAGAAAGTTTCTTCTTTTATCTTGAATCTGAATATAAATGCATGACTTTAGCTGATGCTTTGAATGTTATCTCCAACAGTTTATCTTTATTATTACTTAACAACCAGTAATTGCGCTGTCTCATGTTTAAAGGTGGCAATTAAACTTTGATCTTAGTCTCTTCTAAATGTACAACTATTATAAAGCTATTTTAAGTTGAATAAAATCAAATCAGCCTGAGATAGGAATGATGTTAAGAAATGGCTTTGTTTTGCACATTGAAGTACATTACAAGGTGCATTATCTATTCAAGCCACTCTGAAGGTAAATTCAGCTTTACTAGGTTAAATACAGTATATATAGCGCAACTGATAAGGTCAGCAGATTGTAAAGTTAAAAGCCATAGCCTATAAGTTTCACTAGGATTACTTAAAACATCACGCGAATTCACTAAATGTCAACTGACCTGGCATTTAGGGAACATAATAGTAATAAAGTCAATATTATAGTTATTTGTCCAATAAATAATAAAGTGTTTAATAATTTTAGCCATGTTTATTATCATTCAATCATTAATTTTCTTTTTGGCCTAGTCTCTTTATTAATCCAGGCTCGCCACAGCGGAATGAACCGCCACCTTATCCAGCATATGTTTTACACAGTGGATGCCTTTGCAATCACTGGGAAACAACCATACATACTCATTTACACACATACACTTCAGACAATTTAGCTCACCCAATTCACCTATACTGCATGTCTATGGACTGTGGGGAAAACCGGGGCAACAGGAGGAAACCCACGCGAACACAGGAAGAACATGCAAACTCCACAGAAATGCCAACTTGACCCAGCTGAGGCTCAAACCAGCGACCTTCTTGCTGAGACAGTACTGCGACACACCGCTTCGCCACATGTTCATTATCAACAAACACAATTTAACCAACTTTTAAATGTCGTGTGATGTCGTTTCATGCGTCGTTTATATTTAACCCCCGCCCACTTGCGCTGAACTGTTGCCTCGTGTTGCGATTTTAGTCGGGTCGCGTCAACGTCGCGTCTAATGTAAACAAACAAAGCTGTTTTAAACTCCGACGGTGTCTATATATTGCAAACGTATGCAGTTGGTCATTCAGTTTCTGTCATCGAGAAGACAAATAAAGATGGAAAGGAGACGCGTCCTGTTTTAAAAGTTTGTTGACAATACTTTTTGTTCAGCCTTCAGAAAATACCATCATGGACATTAGCACGTTAACGTTAGCCATCTGACAGAACTGCAAACCGTGAGTAAACTTTTTATAATGCTTTGTAAGTGATGGTTGTTTAAAAACAGAGTTTAAACCGTTTCAAAATACTCAAAAGCAATATATTTTGGTATGTTATTATTTATATGCGATTTAAGTAAGCAAAATAAACATTTGTACAATAATAAATTAAGTTTTTATTATTAATTGAGCAACATTACAAATGAAAAAAGGGAAAATATTTACAGAAAAACAAATGAACCAATAAATAATATTTTATATTTAATTTTATTATTTATTTTTATTTTTATTTATATTTATATATAAGTTATAATTATACAGTATACAGTAGACACCTTAATAGTAGGTTGTGAATATGAAAACAAATGTGGATAGTTATGACAGCTGGGTAATGATTTTTTAAGTGCTATTTATTTTATTTTAAACTCGCAAATAAAAAACAATTACAGCAAAACAAATAAATAATAACATAGCCTACATGGAAAGTCGTGATTGTTATATATCCAAACATGAACTAAAAAGACCATTTTTGATTATCTCTAATTTAAAATAATTTATGCGAAAAAAAAGATTATAAAACTGCAGCGCATTGAACACGCGTCTTCAATCTTCCGCTTAACACCGAGTAGACGGACGCGCACTACATTTTGAAGCACAGACAGCTTGACCGTCTCTCTCAGGACCGCAGATGGCGTGACCGACCGGCGACCGCAGTAATATATTGACATTGCATTGTTATTTGTATTATCCTATCCGTAATAACATTGACCATTTAACTTTACTGACAAATCTTGGTTTAAAAATAAATAACTTCAGAATAAGGGTTGAAAAAGTATAATAAAAATACAGTACACATTTAAAAAAAAAAACCTAATCATTAAAAGTGAACTGCAAGGAACATATTAGAATAATCATTTTAAAATCCATGACCCCTTGATTTAAATGAAAATTCAGCTTTTTTATTAGTTCTCATGTCATCCCAAACCCATAAACTACACTTTTTTTTTCACCTTCAACAGAATGCAAATGAAGATCTTTTTAAAGGATTAGTTCCAGTTTTCTGGACTTAAAACGCCTCAGAATCGTTGCTGTCTATGGAGGATGAAAGATGTACAAAAGATGACTGGAGATCTCAGAGGATTGGAACGACATGTGGGTGAGTAATTAACAGCAAAAATTTTCATTTTTTGGATTAACTAAATTAAAAAATAATGAATTAAACTAAGAAACCAAATATATTACGCTTCATTCATAAACCTGATGCTTCAGAAAAAAAAATCATGACAAAATCAAGACGTTAAAATTCAAGTCTTTAGAAGAGACATTTTTGCTTTATAATGCTTTTTTTAATGACTTAAGCCTTTAATCACATATAAACATCCATAGATATATACACTAGATATCGCATAGGGACCCTGAGCATTCGTCAATAGCGCCGCCACATTGGTACAGTGCTCCCAGGACAAGTGTCATTCAACCGCACTAGTCAAGACAGTGTTATTACATGAAGATGCGGGACTTTTGCGATGCCAACGGGTGTAGTAACAAGCAAACAAAGAAAACAAAGCACAAAGGCAGAATATTTCATAGGTAATATTAAGTTTTTTACATTTTTGTATGTTCTGAACTTTTGTGCTAAACAGGTAACTTTATTGATGATAATGCAGTCACTTATTGCATTCACCATAAGGCAAAGTAACTACAACTCGCACTAAATACTCAGCTTATGCTAGTTTTGTTGAATAAAATCAGCAAACAATGTAAAAGATATATGACAACGAGATGCTGCGGTGCCAGAAACTTGTATTATTGTCGGCTAGTGAACGAGTCGTCCATAACGGAGATTCATTCACAGACGAATCGTGTCCCTCCGTCAGTATGAGAAGTGAAAGCAATGTTGTGGGGACATTACATTTTGTTTGGAAATAAAAATTGGTTGATGTCAGAACCTAACATAAGGCCAACAACGTCAATGTCCAACCTAAAAGCAACCAAATATCAAAGTCTAATGATGTTACAGCTTGACGTTGTGTGAAAGTTACCACTATGATGCTATCAAATGTTGGATTTTGGTTGCCATGCCTGACGAATATACGTCAGTGTTTGACGTCTGTATGACGTTGCTTTGAGATGTTGGATTGACATTGGATTTTGGTCACTTTCCAACACAACCTAAAATCGACCAAATATCAACGTCATTTGACGTCATTATTGGACATCAAAATAACGTTGTCCTTAGATGTCAGCTAAACACTGAATTTTGGTCACCTGATATCACAACCTAAATCTAACCCAATATTACTGTCTTGTGACGTTGTGTGCCTGCTGGGCAATGAATAAATACACTACATAATGTTACGTTTACACACACCCACAAATTACATGTAGACGCATCAGCTTTTTACAGTGTACTCACTACTCTTAAGTATTTTTGAAAGGGCTACTTTTTACTCATACTTTGAGTAATATTTACAACAGTTATTTTTACTCTACTTGTATTTATTATTTATTATTATTTATTTGTTATTTTTACTCTACTGCATTTTTAGGCAAGCAATGGTACTTTTACTTAAAGGGGTGGTCCAGAATGTTATTTTTAAGGCTTGGTTGTGTTAATAAGATGCAAAGCAATGTGTGCTCATGTTTAACTTGAAGGAAATCGTGTTATTTTTTCATAAATCTCACTTTGATTATACACAGCTACTCAGCTAACATGAAAACGACTGTCATATTTCCTAGTTCCTCTAAAAGGCCCACCCTCAAGTGACTCTGATTGGTCATCATCATAATATGCTGTGATACGCCGATCGGCTTCACGTCACGCCCTGACAAGCACGCGCGTTTTGTGTAAACAGTCAGTCAGTCAGTCAGTCAGTCAACACGTGTCTGTAACGAGTGAAAATGGGATGCGGCTCCTTTAACTGTTTCTGTGCCTTTTAGTGTGTTTATGCGTGTATACGATGAAGTATTTGTAACACGAGAAGCGCATGTGCGCGGGAGAGATTTTTATTGTTCTTTTTCTCTCATGCTCGGATTAAGTTATTTTCTGTGGTGACAGAATAAAGCACAAGATGTGAGATGAGACCTTTGTGAGCCTGGATTGATTTGTTTTTGATGTTACACTCCAGTTGGGAAATCATTGCTGTATTTTTTTTAAATCAATGCGTTACAGGACGTCTTTCATGCATATGCGGAATATGCCTGTGTAAGTAACATGAATCGTTCACATATCTTTTGCGACTTTATTGTCCGAGTTGTAAAACGCATACCATAGCTGCCTATAGAGAGAAATTCTGCCGTCTCACACAGATAGACGCAGGTGCTGGCCAAGAGTGCGTGTATGTGTATGTGTGTGTGTGCGTTTACAGCCGTTTGATAAATATGGATTTGTAACGTTAGCTAAGTCGTTAGCGGTTACCATAATTTCCCGTTGTTTACATCTTTGCTACAACACACCGTTAAAGTTAGACACTGTACATGTCATGATCAATTTTAACAAATAAAAACACTTACAGGTCATGACTCAGAGTTCACAGCGTCTCCTTGCTCCATCTTTGAGAAGATTTTAACTGAATCCAGCACTGAACTGGGAGAGATTCTGGAAGCTGTGTTTTGTCAAATCATGCTTGCTATGTATTTTATAGTTCTCTGGAACATAATTAATATTGAACTGTAAGCACTTCTGTGTTTGGGTCGTGTCATTTGGAAGCCCAACAACAGAAACAGAACAGCTCTGTGGAAACAGCAGGATGGCATTTCTCTCTCTGCAGTAACGTTACAGCGCCTCTGGCCACGGCCTTTACCTGCGCAGTGTGGGATGCGCAATAACGAACTTTTGTGATCTCACAGGGGGCGGAAGTATTTTTTGTAGTCCCCAAAATTCGTTAATTGTAGGCGTTGCTAAGCTAACTCTGTACAAATCAAGGTCTCCCTTTGCATTAAACTTTGAATATTTTACATTCAGAGATGCTGTTTATGTTCACACAGATACATTACACATCAACTGAAGTTTAAAATATAATATCGTAGTGGACCACCCCTTTAAGTATGACTTTTCAGTACTTTTTCCACCACTGATTATTTTTTGGATGGGTTTGGAACAACATGAATGTAAGTAAATAATGATCATTTTAATTTTAAGGTTAACTAACAACTTTAGAAACACACATACATCTCTGTATGTTATAATAAACATTCATTGAGGTTCAGTGTAATAAATAATGTTATAAAGTGAATTCATGTCGTTTTAATGCAATTTGGTGTCATTTTATAATATCATGGCTCCAACCTGATCCAATAATGAGAACGTGACTGAATCCAGTGCTGGAATTGATGACGGCAGAGCATTTTGACATAACCTTTGATCGCCGTTGAGTCTGAAGGGCCTGTGAGGAAACAAATGATTTCTCACATCACTATTTACAGCTGCTGTTAAATGTAACTGTCTCTGCACACATACTGTAGACAGAGAGAGAGAGACACTTACCTGCTTGTTTGCTCTTATTATCACCTTCTCCTTTTCGACTCTGACCTGAAATAGTAAGAAAAACAAATTGGCTTGACAGAATATTATGTAACAGAGGGATTATGAAAACACCCACACTGGTTAGGGATGACACATCCTGAGATTCATTTTCTCTCCTCTGATGAACTCCCAACATATTCAGGGTTTATAGAAATGTGTAAGGAAAATTTTTTTTTTTTTTTTTTTTCAAATCAATTGGTCTCATTCTTTATTTGAAAGTAAACTTGTGAATATTTTCCCACAGAAAACATGATGTGTCAGTAAATTTACACTTTTTGGCCCTATCATATGCCCGGTGCAATAAGGCGCAAGACGTGTTTGGCACAATTTGTTGGTATTTTCATACCAATGCAACCCTAATTATCCTGCTTTGCGCCACGTTGTTTAAATTGCAAATGCATTTGCACCGCTTTGTGGACTCATGGGTGTTCCAGTCTAGAAAGGAGGTGTGTTAAGGCGCATTGTTGGCGCTTTGCTATTTTGAGGAACTAAAATAGGCTGTTCAATAGACCAGCTGTTGGTTGTGTGTAATAAATGCAAACACATTGCCTAATACACACAGGATGTACAGCAATACACAAATATCTTTACAAATAAAAAAAGAATAAAAAGCATTAAAATATTACAAAAATTATTGTTTTATACATAAATATAAAACATACCACTAACTCCATGCCTTCTTCATTTCAAGGGACTTTTTCAGTTTATTCATGAGAATTTGCATTTGGTTAATATTATTATTAGCAGTATTATTTATTATATGTATATTTATGTTTATTTTAATAAAAACAAGTTTAGATTTGTCCACCTGAAGGGTTTTGGAATCGTCTGCATCACCATATGGAGCATAGGAAGAATAGGATGCGTGTTTAAATATAACTCAGTTGTTTGACCACACTTCGTTATTATTGTTCATTTATTTGTTTGCTGGAAATTAAAACTGAATTTAGAAATAGTTTTGAAACAAATCTTTGTGCTTAACAAATGAAATTAAATATGTAGGTTAATGGATGTCTTTAGTGGAGTGAGTTTTCACCGTTTCCTTATCCACGAAAGTAAAGGAGGAAATTAAAAAGTAAATGTAAAGAGAAAGTAAAGAGGCCGAATGGAGGAGGCTTGTTCTTTGTCCTCGTGCTGCAGATGGTGTGTTGAACTGTTTTCTCGCTAGTGAAACCTTCAGTTTTTCCACTTACAAAGTCCGCCATGTAAATAAGAAATGCTATGGTGTGACACAACTGACTCTTAAAAGAAATGGTTTAATGTACATTAAAAACACATGCCAACCCTGATTGGTTTAATGTACATTAAAAACACATTAAACCTCCATAACTCATTAAGAGAATAAGCACAACCCTGTTAGACCATGCGCCAGAGCGCAAATCTTATTTTTCCATCCTTAAAATAGCAAAAGTGGATCCAGACACGCCCTTAATGCTTTTGCTCCATGCTCACTATGACTTAGGCAAGGAAATATTTAATTTGGTGTGGCTAGAGAAAAAAAGGTAAATCTTTAGTACTGAGTCTTGAAAAAGTCTTGTGAAATAAAACTAATTGCAATGTAACACTATGAAACCACAACCCATTTGCTCATGCACACAGAACAAGATCATACACAACACATAAATAAGTGAAATGAATGAGAAGGCATGCCTAATGTGGACAAACA